ACGAACTAGACCGTCGAGATTGCCCTATAGTACTTCCTTACCTAATATCCTAATAGGGATTTAGAATTAGAATACGCGATACCGCATATATAATTAGTTCTTAACAACTCTATTAACGCCTCGACTAGCATATTACCGAACTAGGTATTAATAGGTTTCAACCCTAGGGAACTAGCCTAAATAGTAACGACTAGCGCGACGGATTTAGTAAAGGAACGGGACGTCTACCGAGCTAAGGTAGAGAACAATATCGCCTATATATAGGCCGCTATAAAGTAACGCTACGACTCTTAGTACATAGCCTAGAAACCTATAGTAGGCGATATAGTCTATTTACGGCTTAAAAATTACGCTATCCCTAGGGTTAGTAACTGAAAGCTTATACCTCTAAGGATCGGGCTATATAAGGTAACGAAGGTTATAAGTACCGGACTAGCCTACTAGATTAACCTACTAAAGACGTAGAAGATATACCTAGTAGTCTCGATTACAGAACTCGAGCTATACCCTAATACTAAGGATCTATATAAGCGAGTAACGAAGCAACCCTTAAGGATATATATCGAATAGGGAGACGCCCTACCGGAAATAGAAGCGCTAAGAGACCGACGAGTCCGACGAGTCGGTCGGTATAGGAAGGAGGTTATAGAATATCTAGTTAGATAGAAGAACATAGAAGCTAGAGCTAATAAGTAGGTACGAACAGAAGGCATTCTACTAACGATAGTAAAGGCCTACGATCGTCGCTACTACTAGGAAGGCAACGGAATATTATAGAACAGACTTATTATATATATATTTCCTCTAATCGCGTAGCTTCTACGTAGTCCGCTTTACTTCTATAATAGGTAGGAGCGCGTACACTAAGCTTGCGTATATACTAAGTTTACTTTATTTTAAAACAACTTCGCTATAGCAACTTTACTATAATAACAACTTTCCGCGAATATAATATATTACTATCGCTAATACGAGAGCTTGCTTACGACATTCGATACTGTTTCTACTAGCGTAAAGCAATAGAATACGATATAAAGTAGGAGACGCTACTACGCGAGATGCCTAACGTATATAATACGGCTTTGCCTAACGACCTCCTCGCGTAGACCGCCGACGCTAGTAAGGCTAATACTAATAATACGACGCTACCTAACGATCTTCTCGCGTATACTACCGAGGCTAACGGCGAGACAGCCGCTACTAACGACACTACCGCTACTAATTTGCTAGGTAACGCTAGCGAGGGTAATAGTAAGGATAGTTCTATAGGTAACGGCGCTCTTAATAACCTCTTAGATATCGACCTTAACGACTATCGCCTAGCTCGCGAGAGCGACGCCTATAACCTTCTTAACGAGCCCGACTCCGACGAGCCTAATATCTTCTTCCCTTTTTAGAGACCGTAACTATAAGAGAGTAATATAATAGTAGAATAGAGAATCGATCGATTCTAAAGCGAGGTAGGATTAGTAATAGAACTTGTCTCTAATAACGAGGATAAGGCGTAGGCTGTATCTTTAATACTAATAGGCAATATAGCAAATAAGACGCTAGTTACTAAGGCGCTAACTCTATCGTTTACGCTAATTAATGCCTATCTATTGTTTGCGCTATTTAACGCTAACGAAGTAACGCTATCTAAGTCTAGTACTAAGAAGAGAAAGAAGAATAAAAGCAAAGCCCGACTTAGCGACAAAGACGAAGGCGATATAACTCCTCGGCTAACTAAGAAGACTAAGAAGGCGACCTCTACTACGCTAAAGGTTATACTACTACTAGCTTAGGCGACGTCGTCGGACAAGAAGAGAGCCCTAGCTAGAACCCTAACAGCTTAGCCTACTAAGGATCGAACTTCGAAGGCGGAGCTAGCTAAGTTATCGCTAACGAAAAAAAAGAAGTATAATAAGATACTTAGAGAGCAGAGAGACATAATACGAGATATCGAGGTTAATATACTCTATCTAGTACTAAAGGAGACGCTTCGTATAGACCTAGTTATATAGAGAAATATAGACGACGACGGCATCGAGCGAGTACCTAAGAAGGTTAAGAATTTAACAAAGAAACTATAGTCCTAGGATAACTAGCTATTATAGGAACTTATCTAGCGATAGTTTATAGTACGTTACGACCCCGAGGCCTAGCAAGTTACGTTTATTAGGCGATAGTACTAGGTAAGAGAAATAGTTACTAACGACGAAGACTCTATAGACCCTATAGACTCTAGAGCGTTATTAGCCTACTTCGAGGTATTCGAAGATAGGGACAACCGCCGTGCGGCTAAGGAGACGGCTAATAATAGGGATAATAACAACCTAAGCCTACCTAAATAGAAGTCTAGAGAGGAAGGCTAGAAGTCTAGAGAGGAAGGTTTATTAGTAATAACGACTAAGGCTACCTAGGCGATAGACGACCTTAGCGCCGAATTCGAAAGCAACTAAGGATAGGTACTCTACTATAATACGGGAGTATAGACCGACCTAACCGACCCGTTTATAGAATAATATACTAACTAATAGATAGCAGCTAAGAGAGAAACGCGACGAGCGCAAGTCTAGGCCTAGTTAGAACGCGAGGAGGCGGTAATAGAGGCTAAGGCTAATAAGAAGCGAGCGGAGTTTGCAGAGAGGAAGGCTAAGGTATTAGTATGCCTTTAAACGAGTAGAAATACGAACAGATATTATACCTAAGTAGTAGACGGCCTACTAGATAATAAGTATCTAGGTAGAGGAAGTTTCTAGCAACGGCACGAGGGCGTGCCTTTTCTTTTGTTTAGGGTAGACTATTACGGAATAAGGAAGTAACGGTCTAGGGGTTAGCTAACTAATAGGGCGACGGCCTACCTTTATAATTAGCCTTCCTCCTCTATATAATAATAATCTATTACAACTTCATAACATCGTCGCTATATCTAATAGTTCCGAAGAGAAAGCTTTGGAGAGACGTGTAGAATGTAACATGAATGTTGGCTGCTGATTTCAGCCCCTTCCTGATTGAGCGCAAGGAGTTTCTGTATGTGGCAGGTGGGCTCTTTCCTACTGTATTCTATCTCGGACAACCACGCGATCGACCCACATCAAACCTTGGAACTCCTTGCTTTTTCGATAAAGACTTCTTTCCGAGAACCGATTGACGCTAAGAAGAAGATGGAATTATACTGCGGAAGGTGGAAGGTGGAAGGTGGAAGGTGGAAGGTGGAAGGTGGAAGGTGGAAGGTGGAAGGTGGAAGGTGGAAGGTGGAAGGTGGAAGGTGGAAGGTGGAAGGTGGAAGGTGGAAGGTGGAAGGTGGAAGGTGGAAGGTGGAAGGTGGAAGGTGGAAAGAAGTCTACAAGAAGAGCCTAAGAAGGAGGTAGCGGTGGAGATGCTGCGTTGTCTTCAGCTGCAGGCAGTATGCACAGCAGGGGCCGATAGTCTATCAATGATCTGGAAGTCGAACTCGTTCTACAACATTTTCCTGCATGGGGTTGTAAAGAAGAAGTCCAGCCGGCAGATTTATTCTGAGCGGTGGTGCTGATAGATCAGTCATTTTCATGTGACAGCGCACAGACTTGCAGCACCACACGAGGTGACAGTCCGATTTTGGAAATCCAGCATGAGCTGCTGAACCCGCTGAGCAGCCAGCTAGCAAGAGCTTGTTGTCGAGCAGGTGACTACGCATATGGGACTCAATGGTGCTCGGCTCTGGTATTGCGTTCAACAGTGCTTACTCGTAGGTTTCGCATAGAAGAAGCCGCTCGCTGCAGTAGACTTCCACACCTATTCAGGTAACTTTTGCCCTCTACTCATCATCAATAACTTTGGCTATTTTCAAGACAAGCACTGTTCATCAGAGGCTCATGCGGCGGCGAGAGAGCTTCAAATCTACAAGCATGTGTGTTGGACAATTCGTGATAGTTCGTGCTTCTCCTAATCATCCAAGCAAAGTGTGAACTTTGAAGTGCGGCCAGGTTGTGCGGGCCAAGCTCGCCGATGCAGATAAGCTTCGAGCATGTTCGACGTTGTGGTGGTGGCTGTCACAATTGTGGCCACTTTGCCATGGCGGGTACGGGCGGCCTTTGAAACGGGTTGAAGAAGCTCTTGCAGTGTAGATGATGTTCTCAGATTGTGATTGGCCGCAGCATCGAAGCTCTCGTCAGGCTGATTTTTGGGGCGATGAGACGCGGCCTCTTGTCCGGTGGCATGAAGCATCCAATCAGCTCGACAGGAGATACTAGCGCTGCACGCATATGATAGCGGGCGGACGGACGCACCGACGGTCGGATTGCAGCAGAAGTTGATGGTCGCGTGGGCAGCAGAGAAGATGCAGAAAGATGAGCGCGGATGCAGGAAAGAAAGGAGGCGAGAAAAATTTTCTGACCAGTCGTCAGTTGTGGTACATGGCTGGCATGAATGGTGTCACAGCAAGGCCGTCCGTCTGCAGGCAGAGATTGCCGCCTTACGCCGTACGTGGCTTGATGCAGCGAGCACACGCAAACGCGACGGCATTTGTTATTGTTTGACCGTCTCTTTGTTACCACGCACTTGCTGGTTGGCGGTCGATTTCTCGCGGTTTGCAGCGCCAGGCTTGTTGCAGATGCAGATGCTGATGCTGGTGTTTTGTGCAGTGGCGGCGCGTCGCAGACGGTGGTGAGTCATTCGAAGCTCGCAAACTTTGACGCGCTCACACCGGTTGCGGAGATAAGCTTCCGGGCGACGAGGGTGATATTCGCGCTCACCATTATCGTGATGTCGTCGACGCAGCAACAGGAACTGTGAGCGCACTCGTCGCGACTCGCATACCGGCCGGCAGCAAGCGATGGTCGCAAAAGTGATGGCGTGCATATGTCATTGCATTCGCCCCCTGCCTCGCGGACGAGAAGAGTAGTGAAAAGTCAAGGAAGTAGCTTCGCGCTAAATCCGGATTGGGCGCTGCTGCTCTCCTGAGGAAGGAGCGGCCGGGCCCGCGCTTGCTGTACTTAAAGACTTGCACGCCCACCTTCCAAAGATTTTCGCGACCTCTGCCAAGACCTGCTCCGAATCCCGCTTTTGCAGCCCGCCAGTCCGCCAGCCAGGTCCCATTCTCGCGCTTCCAGTCCGTAGCAACTATCAGATATCCATCAAGAGAAAGCAACGGTCGCGAGACTGATTTCTTCAGTTACTGCTATTGTCGAGTCACTCATTCTCCGAGACAATACTTCCCTTTTGCGCCCGTGACTGCAACGCGCAAGCACGTGCACCGACTACTTCTCACCTTAACGCCTGCCACAGGAGCTCCCCTCGACAACAACCATCACCACCACTGCGAGGCAGGATCTGCTGGTCGGCACCACCCTCGCCCACACTTGCGACCCTCACCGCCCCGCCCTCACCACCGACAGCGCATCAGCTCAGACACTTTGACTAGTCTGCTCTGGGTCCGAGGCGCCGCTCTTCCACACGGCTGCAAAACCACCCTACCCTCATCATCAACCACCCACGCTCGCACCACACTCGCGTGCGCTGACATCTACCGTCGCGACAGTCGCGCGCTTCATCTGAACGTCCAGAAAGAAAGCGCATCCACTATCGCAGTCATGGAGACCGCAGCGTACATGACCCACCCGAACACGGCGGCAGAGGCGAAGCAGTTTGCCGCACCTGGCTCGCTCTCGTTCCCTGGCGCTGCTGGTCACTTGACACCGCCTTCGTCAGATGCTGGCCAGCCCAGCAAGAACGGCTCGAACGGACAACAGCAAGGAGGCAATGCCGCACAAGGCAATGGGGTGACGCCCGCCACTCCGGCTGCGACTCCAGGCCAGGCGAACACAGGTGTTAGTGGCATCGTTCCAACTCTTCAGAACATAGTAGCGACGGTGAACTTGGACTGCCGACTCGACCTGAAGACCATTGCGCTCCACGCCCGTAACGCCGAGTACAACCCGAAGCGATTTGCGGCCGTGGTGAGTACTGCTTGAAAACGCAACTTCTTCCTCCTTCACGTGCTAACTGTTCCATGGATCATGCGTATTCGTGAACCCAAGACCACTGCACTCATCTTCGCCTCGGGCAAGATGGTCGTGACAGGCGCGAAGTCCGAGGACGACAGCAAGCTTGCCTCGCGCAAGTACGCCCGCATCATCCAAAAGCTGGGCTTCAATGCGTAAGCTTCGCTGCTGTCTTGCTGATGTCGATCCTCGCTAACTTTGGTACAGTAAATTCACGGACTTCAAGATTCAGAATATCGTCGGCTCTTGCGACATCAAGTTCCCAATCCGTCTCGAGGGTCTTGCGAGCAGACATCATATGTTCTCATCGTACGAGCCGGAGCTTTTCCCCGGTCTCATCTATCGTATGATGAAGCCGAAGATCGTACTTCTGATCTTCGTCTCTGGTAAGATAGTCCTCACCGGTGCCAAGGTCCGTGAGGAGATCTACCAGGCCTTTGAGCTCATCTACCCTGTGCTCTCCGACTTCCGCAAGACCTAAAAAACTTCAACAACCAAAGGCATCCTGTACCAGTATTACGGTCTCTTGTAACAACACTACATCATTCAGAGGTTCGATGCCAACCTCGACCAAATCTCGACCGACACTCACGATCACTCTACCACACTGGCCGTCGCCAGCCACCACTCACTGTGGGATCGAAGAGACTCAACCAGATGACATTATTTACGATTTTGCTTTTCTTGCATGGCGAGGTGTTTTACGGCGTTCACTCATGCAACCCCCACACTGGAGCTTTTTAATGGGCTTTCACTACTCCTGAAGTGATGGGTTGCGACTTGAGTTTCATCAACCATTAGACTTTGGGGCGCGAGCGCTGGCAAAAAAGGAACAGCCAGCATTTGCGCGAACAGAGGCTCTATAAGAGAGTCTTACCAAGATTGACGACACAGCAAGGCGGAAATTGGTCAAAAGCTAGATGCGATGCACTGCGACGGCATCGGCAGCGAGCATGCATGCTGGATTGCTGATAATACGCGGAAGCAGAAAGAGTATCTGAGATATGGCTTACAGGTAGTGCACCAATGCCATTCTCGTGCTTAATTGATGTTCGATCCATCATCTTTCTCGTCGTCAGTCGTGTGCTCGTGCCTAGCCATAGTCCTAGCCCTAGCCTTCGCCTTGCTTGATGCGTGTAGCCTTCTTGCCACCCAGGCTTGAAGAGGTCATCACCATCATCGCACTTCACGACCCTCAGCCATCTGGCATCAGATCCATTGTGTCGACAGCAATGTTCTGGAGTCGGAACGAGTGGTATCAAATCGCACGCTAGATCTCCCGCATGCATATCTGCTATGTGAATAATTAATGAGTGTAAGGTAAGGAACCTCGTGCCTTCGAGCAGAGTATCTGAGCAGAGATTTTGAACATCTCACAACTTGAAAGTCAAACAGTATGCTGCTTTCTCTGTCTCTCTTCTCGGAGTTGCTATCCCGTGCATGATGAGGTAGGTAAACACTTACTTATCGACATATGTATGACGAGGGACGAGAAAATCTTGACGATCGAATTTTCAAAGAACGTATTAAAAATATAAAATCTAGCGGAAGAACGGCAACTTCGACCTTATCCTTCCTTCGCCACCTCATGAATCCTATCCAGTCCAGTCCAGTCCAGTCCAGTCCAGCGCCACGCTATGTCTTCAGATCTCATCAAATTCCATTTCTCATTCAATCATGCATGCATGCAAAAAAAGGCCTGGCATGCTTCACTAACACAAGGTAACTACTAGCTCAAACCCTCGGCGAGCCCATCACCCCAACTTCGATCGAATTCTCTTTCACGGTAGCGATATGGCGTGTGCACATCATCTTCGGGACTATCGCGCTCTCGACTCCTTTTGCTGGTTCCCGTATCAGCGCTGCCAGTCACGCTTGCGATGTCTGCTTTGTCGACTTGTCGCACTTTCTCGTTCGTCATTCTTCGTTTGGGCCCGAACCAGCTTTTCCTCTTGACGGCAGTGCTTACGCTATCTCCATCTTGGATATCGGAGAAGGTGACGGATTGAGCGTCGGCTTCTTTGGCGGAAGGAGAGTTTTCTTTTTCTTTTTCTTTTTCCTTTTGCTTTTCCTTTTCCGGCTCGGATATTTCTTCGACGAGCTCTGCATCCCGGATCCATCTCCTTCGCCGAGTCCATTTGCCCCAGTCGTCGATTTTGCTGCCGCCGTGCCACTTGTTGTCGTAATATGTCCAGCCTTCGCGGTCTCCACGCCCTTTGGTACCTGCAGAATCATCTGTCCACGATGGATCGACCCGCCACTCGCTTTCTGGCACCCATCGCCATCGTGTCGATTCGAAATCTGTTTCTGGAAGTGGAAAGTTGTCCTTGTCGGGAACGGTGTTGTTCTGCTCGTCAGTCCAGGCTTGACGCTCGTTCGGCAGGAGGTTGGAGGTATATCCAAGCAAGACCCATCTACGCTGGTTCTCGTAGATAGCAAAGGTGAAGCGCACGCCCGGTCTTTCACCTTTTCTCTGGAGTGCTTTCGCTAATGCTGCCGGTGCCCGAGGTGGCAGCGGTGGAGCAGTCTTACTGCTTGACGAAGGATCTGGAAAGCGAAGACCTGTGATGATGGATGATGACTGGCGTACAATGCGACTGCGCCAGAGAATTGATCGTGAAGCCCGAGCAGGTCGACTATGCCAGGTCATGCCGATCGTGCCTAATACCAGCAGTGCACGCTGAAGTGTGATGATGCGCCATGGAGGTAGCGTTAGGATGATCCAGAAAGGGGTGAGAGCTAGCAATCGCAAGAACATGGAGGTCAGCGCCGGCCTGGTGCTTGCAGACACGGCAGTGGTCTGCGTGCTCAAGAACTCGGTCAGCCGCAAGAAGGGATCCAGCAGGACATCGCAGCGGTGCGTGAAGATCTCTAGCGTATCCAGAATCTCATCCAGACTCTTCCTCCTCTCGGACTCTGAGTCTGCTCGACTGCGCTTCTTCTTCTCGCCGCTCCACGTCGTGCTGGACAGCGGGCTATATCTCCTCCCGTACATGCCTGCCATCAGCACCACCATCAGCACCACCGGCCCCGCATATCGTAACACATCATCAGCGTAGAGTACCGTGAACCAGAAGCCTGCTACGAGCAGAAAGCTCTCCCACGCATCTCCTGTTGTCCATGACAGCAGTCCCGCCAAGTGGCTCAACGGTAATATGAAGGGATGCGAATATGCCAACACTCGTGTGACCTGCGGCGGAGTAGCAGCCAACAAAGGGCTTTTCTGATGTATCAATACCGATGCCTGGTTCCTCTTCCTCGACGTCTGCTGGTTAGGGGAGAAGGCAGCGACGGTGGGCTCGGGCACGGAGTTGTCGCGGGCGCCATCGTATGCGACACGCTCGTCGGCCCGGCGTTCGCTCATCGGGATCGTAAGTGGGACATCTGAAGGCGAAGAAGAGGTCGTCAGCTTTTTGAGCTTCTTCCTCAAGCCCATTGCATGCCATAGTAGTAGCTAGCTACTGATTTGCGAACAACACCTGGCGGGCGGGCTGGCGGTTGCTACTTACCAAAAGCTGCCATCAAACGTTTGCGGGTGGCAGGCAGTCATGGGAGGCAGTGGCGTCGTTCACGTTGTCGCCTGAGCGCGCACAAACAGTGGTTGAGGGGGTCATTTGGTCATTGGCACGCTGTTGCAGTACAGATGCATAGCGAAGGTTTGCGTCTATGAGGCACACCGTCACGAGACTGACATGCAGGGCAGACATGCCGCGGTGACGGCGGGGAGCGGAGACATGTGAAAGGCATCCTGGACAATGACAATGACATCGTTCTGGTACATTCGTGCATATGGCTCGCCGTATTGCTCTTACACCTCACACAATACCTCAATCAAAGCCTCCCACCCCTCCCCAATCCCCTCTCCCTCACAACCCGAAAAGCCTCCTCCATAACCTTCACCTGCCCAGGCAACCTCAACAAACCGCGCACATCCTCCTCCCCAGCCCACACCCACTCCTCATGCTCCTTCGGATCCAACTTGACCACAACCGGCACCTGAACAGTCACAAAAAAGTGAAACTGCACCCATCTCGTCACTTTTCCTGTAGAATCCCTCCCTTCAAACTCATTATCTCCTAATCTACAAACCACACTCTCAAGCACAAGCCCCGTTTCCTCGAAAACCTCTCGAGCAAGTCCTTCTCGTACCGTTTCTCCGGCTTCCATACTTCCGCCTGGAACTTCCCAGTATCCGGGAAATACGTCGGTCGCGGCGCGTTTGAGGATGAGGAGTTTTGATGGGGTTTGGGGGTTGAAGATTGAGCCTCCGGTTACGTAGCGGATGCCTTTGGGTAGGAGGTCGCGTTTTGTGGAGAGGAGTTTTTCTAAAGGGATTGAGGGCTTTGATGTTGAGGAGGAGGACATGGTGGATGGTTGTGAGGTTGGGATTATATTGTGCACTATGATGTATGGATGAAGGGAGGCGAGGAATAGACTAGAGGTGAGCTAGGATTGGTGTCATCCATGCTTGCATGCATTCGGCCGAAACCGAGCTGAGTATATATATCAATGCTGGCATGGATTTGACTGCCTGGTCATTATTTCGCCCCAGTATGCAGCATAGGCTCCCAATATTAAGAAGACTAAGGCAGTGAAGAATTTCATGCTGACTTTCCCGTTCATCGCTGCCTTGGATCCCGTCTCATGCTCTTCTCTCTGTGCATTGACCACCGCACCATTCTGCGTTCGCTTCTTTTTCGACTATTGCAGCCTTCGCAAATCATCGGTGAAGAAACTCCAGCCTAGAAAGACTCCTGAGATGATGACTGCGCCTGCTGTCTATATGAAATACACGATGACAGCGTGATCATAACTATCAATGTCATCATCTTGGATCACACCAGTGATGATACGAATGATGATATTCATGTTATTATTGACCGCGATCTTGACCACGTAAGCAGCTCCGAAAGTATCCTGATACCAAATCGATGTGCGAATGCCGTCAATGATAGCCGTAGGTCCTAAAGTGTAGGCGACAGCATAGATTCCGAATGCAGCGAGTAACACGGCTAGGAAGTAGCCTGTTCCGCATTTCACGTGTATAGGTACATGTACTGAACGGCCGCCATCGCTTCGTGCTAATCGTGCTGATCGCGCATCACCAGAAGCAGGAATGGCTTGTACAAGTGCAGATCTTATCAGATGGCCGTGATCATTGATTGCCAATTAAGTAGGTCGTGGCCGCGTCACAAAAATGCGTTCATTAGTTGAGCTTCGAGGCTTCGAAAACATTTCGTGCGAAGCGGAATCAAATGTGATATTCTCAATCGCCACCCCTGTCGCGGGTCGGTAGCAAGTCGTAAGCAGTGGCGTCGTGAATGGATCCGAAGATTTCGAGACGCGACCT